GAAAGAGGTGTTGTAACTTGCAAATAGAGCAGAATAAAAACTGCGTTTTCAAAAATAAACAAGGTATCCAAACCCGGGAGACAGCACGCTGTGGAGTTAACTTACCGGCAACCTATGAAAAGTTTTTTGTTTTTCGAAGTAGTGAATGTGCGATCAGACAATTAGTAGATCAGGTTATCCTACGAAACATTACGACATCTTTGCCCGGTAAATCCTCACCGAAGGACATAATTTAAGACGATTTCTCTCTCCTTTTCTTTTCTAAACTACAGACCCCATTGCACATACCCACGCGCAAAACCTCAGCCTAAAAAAGAGGTGATTTAAATGCATACTCAGTAGTTATCACCGAGCTCAAGATCGCAAAACAGTTCGAGAACATCATGTGGTGAAACGCAAAGCAAATTTTGTAGCAATACATGTTCACCTTCACCTCCGCAGAAGCTTATGATGAGTGGGCCGCCATCGGGCTTTCGTACATGGCCTTAAGATCAGATTATTTTTTTTTCTTATGCGCTGTATATTAATTTCTCGCGCGATCAATTATCTGAATGTCTCCAAAGATAGAACTCAAAGTTATATATCAAGAGTCATACCACCAATATTATCCGTTAATGAAATGCCAAGTTAGGTTAGTGAAAGACATAGATACTAAAAATAAGCATCGGGGAAGATGGCGTAGTTTCAACCGGTTCCTTGTTGTGACGGAAATTTTGGCCGACTCTCCTGCGCAGATTTATAAGGCACCCTATTCCGGATCTCAGCAAGGACGTCTAAATAGATTTCAGCGAATGAGGTTGACGTCACTGCTCCGTTGTCGAGGGGAAATCCAATTATTTTTTGTTTGACGTTCGTGTGTAAACAAGGAATCACAAATTTACATACCTACACGGCCCCACACATACTGTTGCGCGCGCATAAATACACACACACGCACATACACAGAAAACACATGTACTTTACATTCACAATTTTCCCGTTATCTACCAACAGAAATTCTGGAACTCAGATCTCGATAATCTGGGAAATCAATAAAAATAATAATAATTTCTAAAACTACTGACCAGAAATTTTCGAAATCAAATCTCGATAATCTCGGCATCCAACCAATGATAAAAAGAAATGTTCAAATCTCCTCCCGGCAAAAAAATCATCAAACACCACATAATCTCATGCAACTTTCCGTTCTTATCTGAAAGTGACGTAACTTTAGAAATTCGATTGAACCGTAACAGATGTTGAAGCGCGTTGTGTTTCCGCCATCTTGCTCTCACCTCTTTGATTCTTCGCAATATACATATTATTACTATTATTATTTCTATTTTTCTTTATTTATTTGTAAATCGAAAGACTTGGCGGCATATGCTTTTTTTTTTTTTTTGCATATAATAGGCTTATTATTATTATTATTATCAATTATTATTATCATTATTACAGCTGTTACGGATTTAAACTCTCCTGGCTATTGTAGTCCAGATCACACTTTTAAGAGCATCTTCTAGAAGTTTGCAAATTATATTTTCACTTATAAAAACACATTTTCAACATTGCATAGATGTAAGACACAGCCGTTGGACGTTACATTCGAATTTCAAGCTCAGCTGAAACGCCTCTCTAAAACTTAAGAGCAATTTGCAACATCTGGGAGAAGAAGGACAGAGAGAGAGGGGAGGGAGAAAGGGAGAGATAGATAGATAGATAGATTGATAGAGAGAGAGAGAGAGGAGAGAGAGAGAGATAGATAGATAGATAGATAGATATAGAGAGAGAGAGAGAGACAGAAGAACGAAGAGAGAGAGAGAGAGAGAGAAAGAGAGAGGGAGGGAGGGAGAGAGAGACAGAGACAGAGAAAGAATCAGAGAGAGAGAATCAGAAAGAGAAAGAGAGAGACAGAGAGTGAGAGAGAGAGAGATGGCCGAGGATATTTTTAGATATGTGTGTTGCCCCCTCCCTCCCCCCCTCCCCTCCCGCCGGTGCCCCATACCCTTTCAACTTGTCTCGGAGGCTCGATCGGACCATCCCTCCTCTCAACCAATAGGAATCGTTCTCGGATCCAGCCAACCAATAGGAGGCCACGATTTGTTCGTCAGTATTTTTCCCCGACTAAATGCTTTTAAAAACTAGATCTATTAACGTCTCAATATATATGTATGTATGAATGCATGTATGTATCTATGCTGTAGGTATGTATGTAAAGTAGACCCGTCCTACAGGTTTTTTTATTCGTAGATGCACCTGTTGGGCATATACGTTCGCCATGCACGTGTGGGGCTCATTCCTAGACTGGTCTGATCACGTGATCCAACTTTGCCATGCCACGAGGTGGTCACAAGCGCTCTTGGCCAACCCTCCCCTGGTCGCTGCATGACGGCTCCCCCCTCCCCCCTAACCCCGACCCCCTTTCACCTCCTCCTCCACCCCTTTTATCTTCTCCCCCCACTTCCTTCACCTTCTCCAATTTTTTCACCGTCTCCTCCACTTCCTTCACCTGTTCCCCCACTTTTTCCACCTCCTCCTCCTCCTCCTCTTCCACTTCCTTCTGCTCCTCCCCCACTTCCTTCACCTCCTCCTCCCCTACTGCCTTCACCTTCTCCCCCACCCCTTTGCCTGTTCCCCCACTTTTTCCCTTCTACTCCACCTCCACCTCCTCCTCCCCCCCCCTCACCTCCCCCACACCCCATCCTGTTGCCCTCTTACTCTGACCACCTTTTGGAAAGTTATTCCTCAAAGGACATCTGGCACAGGAATGCACTGTGTAGGACTTTTCAGGACACTCGACATAATGTATGAAGAGGGAGTATACAAGACCGAGCCAAAAAATTGAAAAAAAACTCTCGTATATAAAAAGTACACAAGACCGACCCAAAGAATTAACAAATTCGTATATAAAAAGTACACAAGACCGACCCAAAGCATTAAAACACTCTCGATTTGTATATAAAGACTACATATGACCGAGACAATAGAATAAAAAATCTCGCTTGTATGTAGAGAGTCCACAAGACCGAACTAAAGAATTAAAAAAAAAAACTCAATAGATGTAAGAGATAGGCGAGACATCTGCTTCGACTCAGCATCCGAACACAACCTTCGTCATACTTAGAAAATTTATCATTCGGTCAAGGCAGTTATGAAGTGAAGGTTGTTCAGCCATGCAGTGTGTGGTAGACCATGATTTCGCGTGATGTGCACTCTCTTTTTGCATTCTGATGACCTTTGATTCGCTCATGACTTCCCATAGCGAGGAGAGGTTTCTCGTGTTCCGAAGCTTCGAGGTTTCATCTGGTCATGAGTGGTTAAAGAGTTTTGTCTTAAAAAAAAAGTCGTGGCATTTTCAGCAAGGGTTCAGCAACATCTGCATACATCTTTAAAATTGGGGTAATGTGTAACGAAAGGTTATATATCCTGTAATAGGAGGACTTAACCATTTATATTGATGGAAATATACATTCATTAGCGGCACTTGTGGAATATTTTACTTTTACGGAATCACAGTCTTCTAAAAGGTATTTGATCTATATTCTATTTTGTTAGAGATATTTGACACGCGTATAATAGACACTGAAATGACACATACATAAACACACACATATACATATATCTATACATACAGTACACACACACACACATCACACACGCACGCACATGCACATATACATATATGCAGCATATACAGATTTTACCGTAGAATGTCGGCATCCAAATTATTTCGTTCCCATGCACTTGTTACAACTTTTTCTATATAAACATTCACTTTTAAATGCGCGTTTTAATAAATAGATCACTCTGAATAATAAGAAAATAATGTAATAAAAAATCAAGATGATGATGATGCATACGTACACCATGCACATACGCACTATATTACTTTAATGCACCATTTTTGCCCGGTTAATAGTGTCTAAAAGTTTGCAAAAACAAGAGGAAATCACTGCAAATTGAGGCGAGTCCGCACTGCATAAAACAGGTGTTGATGATACAGGTACCATCTATTTCAAAATATTTTATGTTGATGATAATGGTAATATAATATAATAATGATAAGATAATAAGAAAATGTGAGTAATGATGATAATGTTAATGATAATAATGAATGATTAATATAATTGATATGATATGATGAAATTATAAAATAATGGTAATGTTGATAGTGATAATGATAATGATAATATGATGATAATGATGATGTTGACAACGATAATGAGATGTTGGATAATGTTTGAATAAAGCTAAACGATAATAAAATAAACCGAAATTCTGACTTACCTCCAAGACATCCCGCCACGAAATCTTGAGCCATCTTCGAACGCTAAATTTTATCGCAGCCAATATTGTTGACGTAATTTTTGATTTCCCAGGTATTCAGTAACGACAGATAAACGAATTAAGACGATTTTGGCTTCTACTCCAATCGGTCCAGGTATAAAAGAGTAAGAACTGAATACTTGAGGAGTGTCGAGCAAGCAGATGAGTACTGTAGAGTGGTACCTACTCCCTCTGGCTACCTGGCTTTTACTGACGCCAAGCCGGGTTCTCGCGGTGCCCGTGCCTCTGCCCGCCTCCCGTCAGCATGCTCTGACCCCGCCCCCCCCCCCTTCCTCCTCTCCTGCCCCCTCCTCCTCCTCCTCCTTCTCCCTCAACTTCTTTCTCCTGCTCCTTTTTTCTCTCTAATGCCTCCTCCTCTTTCTCTTCTATCTCCCCTTCGTCTCTTACTCCCTCTTCTCTTTCTCTTCTATCTCCTTCTCCTCCTCCTCTCCTATGCCCTCCTCCTCCCTTCCTCCCCCCTCCCTCCTCCTTCCTCTCTACCCCTTCCTCCTCCTCTCCTACCCCTTCCTCCTCCTCCTCCTCTCCCCACCTGCTGCTGCCCGTCTAGGTAATGCCCCCCCCTCCCCCAAACCTCCCTCCACCCCCACCCCCCTTGTTGCCCTTATTGGTGCATGCCCCTCCCTCCCTCATCCCCCCCTCCCTAGTCCTAAGTTTTTGCAGAATCCAATATGATT